TAAGCTAGCGCTATAACCTATATTCCCCATAATTGTAACCCAGCATGAACCCCATCAGCCTCGGTTTGCGAAGTGAGCCACAGCGACGTTCCCTGGATTGTGTGGAAGTCCTGGGTTTATGGGAAGGTAATACATATTTATTGTTCATAGGGGTTGGACTTGAGGATTTAGGGGGTTTCAGCTTGCGAGAGGGAGAGCCTTTCAAGTGGATGAGCCTTGCATAGTGTGGGGGTGTTGGGGTGTTCCTACGGGTTTATAACATGGGCTTGCTAGAGTATGTTACAGGCCTCAGAACCCATTTCTACTGGAAAAGTGGTTCTATAGACACCCAGAAAACCCATTTAAAAACCAAAATACGGCCGTTTATCACTAAAAACCAGGAAAAACCATAAGGCCGCTTTTTTTCAGCCTTTTGTATCCCTAGGTTCCCATTAGCTGTACTAAACTTATTATTACCCAAATCCAAAGTACCCAATTATTGGGTACTTGGACCCTAAGCCCAGAGCCCCTAAACCATCAATATCCCGCGATATACTGGCAATATCTATCTATCTGTCTAGCTGTCTATCTATGTATCTATCTATCTATCTATAGTATCCCTAAACCCTAAACATTAGAAAAATAAACATTAAGGGGACCTAAGTATTGGGCACCCAAATGCCTCCAAGCTGCTCAATCTGCTTGGTTCGCAGATGCAAATCCAAGTTCTCAAGCGCCCAGAACCCAAAATCGTCATCCTTAACCCTAAGCATCTAAGGGTCTATGTACCCCAGTAGTGCCCTTTTACCCTTTTAATTTGGGGTCTCCTTATTAAAGTAGAACAGTAGGATAAAGGGTACCGTTATTATTAAGGTGTTACAGGGGAACCTAGGGGTTCATATTTGGCCCAAAGACCATACTATGTAAGGCTTTTAGGTGATTTTGATGCTTGGGGTAAGAGTTTGGGGTGTAGGGTCTAGAGTTTGAGGTTTAGGGTTTAGTTTGTAGGGTTTAGGGTCTAGGGTTTCGAGTTTGGGGTTTAGGGTTTAGAGTCTCGGGTTTAGAGTTTAGGGTTTAGGGTTCGTAGTCGTACGGTTATGAGATTTTTTTCCAATGCCATGTCCTTAACTGCCCTTGGTTCCAGACGCCATCATGTGTTGGTACTTGGATCAACCCAAAGCTTACAGCCCTGCTTTCCTAACACAAGAAGAGAAACCCTCAGCCCTCAGCCTATGTAATTCCAAATCGGCTCAGCATTGGGGTTTACGGATTACGGTTTACCCCTAAAGCCTAAGCCCTAGACCCCTAAGAGCCCGCAAGCCAAAGCCTAACTCTCTGCCGGGAGGCTCACATGTGGGGAATTGCGCTGCCCATCAACGACTACAAAACGGACTTGAAGCACAGGGCTTGGAGGGCTCAGTTGTCTGCTGTTCATGTGAGTGTTGTCAATCTTGTTGGGTTTAAGGGTCTAGGTATCCCTCTTACATGCCCCAGAGTGTTACACACGGTTTAGGGTTACTGGTTGAGGGTTTAGTGCTGAAATTTACGGTTCAAGCTTCCATAGAGTCTTGTTGGAGTGCCTGGACCACCAGCACGCCTGTCGGAGCCGCTTCCAAAAATAGCCTATTGGGACCCTTTCGTAGTAAAAGCCTATGTACCCTAAAGCCCTATCATGTTAAATTTGGCTGGTACTGTAGCTCTTCTTTTCTGAGGAGTGCTTGAGGTACCAAATGCTAAAACTAGTGACCATGTTTTCGCAAGACATGTGCTGGAGGCCTGTTACGTGGGTCATTAGTGAACATGTTTTTTTTTTTAGCTTGTGAAGCCCAATAAGGATCACGAATGCATAAACCCTAAGCCCAATTATGAAGTTATGGTTTCTCAGCATGTGCCAGTAGAAAGCAGTCAAGCAGACAGATGCGACCGCATGATCAAAGGTTGACGGCTATGCCGAACTGTGGCCAACCTCCAGAAAACCATCTTCCACAGCCCTTGCACCCTAAGACCCTGAGCATTTTATGACAGCAGTAAGCGCATTGAGTTCTTCATGGGGCGTCATCGAACAATCCGCACAAGCTGCGTGCTTACTGCATACTTCTTTGCTGCAGATGTTCTTTCAACTTATCACGTTTGTGCTAAACCGTATACCCTAAAGCCTGCTTTACCTGTTCTGCAGTCGGCAGTTGGTAAAAGAGAGGCGTTGCAACAAATCTAAACCCTAAACCCTCAATAGTAATTTCCATTTTCTTTTCCATTATCCCCGTATAGCCCCCTATATAAACCCTAAAACCCCCCTTAAGGCTTTGCTGCGGTTTGTGCCTGGGTCCCAAACTCCAATATGTACCCAATAATAACCCTGTACCATAATGGTTTCCATTTTCTTTTCCATTATCCTATATCCCAATATATATCCCTAAACAATAATCCCTATACCCCAAAACCTTAAACAGCAATCCCTAAACCCTAAACAACAATCCCCAAACCCCAAACCCTAAACCCTAAACCCTATGTAACTCCAAGATATTGCCTTGTCAGGGCGGGAGTGCTGAGGCTGCGGCATCCAATGTCGCAGCAATCCAGTCCCACTTGCCTCAATATTGGGGTTATATTGGGGTTTAGGGTTTAGGATTTAGGATTTAGGGTTTCGGGTTTAGGGAATATTGAGGTTATATTGGGGTTATCTTGGGATAATGGAAAATAAAGTGGAAACTACTATACCATATTGGGGTTATATAGGGTCATATTAGGGTTATATTGGAATAATGGAAAATAAAGTGGAAACTACTATAGTATATTGGGGTTATGTAGGGGTTATATTGGGATAATGGAAACTAAAATGGAAACTAATATAGTATGTTGGGGTTATATAGGGGTTTACATTGGGGTTATATTGGGATAATGGAAACTGAAATGGAGACTGCTATGTAATAACAGGGCATATATTGGGGTTATCTTGGGATAATGGAAAACAAAATGGAAACTACTATTAGGGTTAAGGTTCAAGATCTTGGGATCTCTTGGCATAGGGTTTAGGGTTGAGGATTTAGGGGACCCAGACTAGAGAGCCAAATGTGCGGGGCATCAACACTTACCCCTCCAGCACTTATGTATTGGGGTTATATGGGGATTATACGGTATATAATGGGGTTTATATAGGGACAATGGAAAAGAAAATGAGAACTACTATAGTATAGGGTTAATATGGAGTATATATTGGAGTTGGGGACCCAGGCACAAACCGCTTCCCTGATGCCTTCAAAGAAGCAAGCAGGAGAAGGCTTACAGCAATGCTTCAGATATGTGGAGGATTCCCAAAATTAGGGGTACCTTATTGGGTCCCCATATTAAGGATTATAGTATATTGGGGTCTATATTGGGGTACCCTAATTTTTGGAAACTACCATATCCACCTGATCAACTTGACAAGGCCTGGAACTTCTGCTCTGAAACAGGCAACCTGATCAGACCTGACCTGTGTTGTGTGAATATTCTAGACATGGATCGAGGAGTTCGGCGAATCGGACGAGATGATACTGGAAACATAAGGCCAGCTACCTACTCCATTTGGGTTCCTTCCCTTAAGGACTTATCACTAATGTTGATACGAAAAACCCTGCATGACCTCAGTTTACGATAGTACCATAATTTCCAAGGTATACGGTCCCTAAAATCATGCGGGATCTTTAGTATCCACCGTAGGAATTAGAGTACCCCTATGTTCAGCTTGAGTTTGGAGATCGGGTTCCCTGGGCACAAGGCCACAAGGATGGGCAGGCGCTTTGCCAGGTTGGTAAACCCTCATATGAGCCCATACAACCCTATGCAACCCAACATAAGGCTATATGACCATGTATACCCCGTTCTTGATTCCTGTTGCCAAGGCTAGCGCCGAAGCTGGCCCGTCGAAGGACCTGAAGCCCAGAACCCAACGTGGATGTGAAAAGAACAGCGGTTCTGCCTCTTGCAGCAGGAGCAGCAGCAGGAGCAGCAGCAGGAGCAACGACATCGCACTTGCAACAGTTGCAGCAATTGAAGCAGTTGCCGTTACACTCTCAGTGCTGCGCTGCCACTGCAACAAAAACACACCACGAATCGGGCTGCCCCGGGCTACAAGTTGTCAGGCCTCCTGTGATAGCCAGCCGACCAGTTCGGAACCGACCTCGGGTCAGTCAGCATGTGGAATCTAAGGAGAATGCCTCCTTAACCCTCCTTCAGATTGAAAGACTGGAGCTAAACGTCCCAGAGCGCCTCCGTGCCAAGTCACTATGCAATTGAAGCCGCTTTGTTTGCAAGCCACGAACCAACATGACTTGGGCTAAGCAGAGGATGAGAACCCGAATGGCTTGAAAAGACCGTGGTCACTGGGACTCTGCTTTGTGATGCCAAAAGCAGGAATGGGAAATTGAAAACTGGGGGGGCGCTGTGGGGAGTTGTTACAGGGTCCTATGGATCATCATAATATCACATCCCGTGCTCCCCTTGAAGCAGGTTAGGCCACTAAGAGGGGAAACCGAAGCACTTTAGAAGTGACAGGTTTTTTCCAAAGCCAGGCCTTTTGCACCTCGATGGTTGTCTCACAAAATCGAACGGTCCCTTTACACTCCGAAAGATGCGAAGACACGAGGGTTTAGGCTATAGAAAGAAAACCCCCAAAAGGGCATCACACTTTTGAGACATCCTCACAGGTGGCGCAGAAATCGTCGGCAGCATTGAGCAAGTTCACATATGACGACGCCCAGAGGATCGGCCGAATCGCGAATCGCATGTCGTGCATTCGCCTTCAGCAGCCTGACGGGCTATAAGTGCAAAAAAGCCAAGGGATCATCTGGCATCTTGCTGCTACAACTGCCATCGCCACCGCTACCATTTCTTATCATTGCGTCTTGAGACTTTCTGTCAGGGCTTGGCATGCTGCTGTCATGATGCACAGCGCACCTTCGACACAGTCTCCATCATGCCTCTCTGGGTCCCAATGCGTGAGGTCTTCTTCGAGATGCAGGTACGGCTTGGCGGCCCCAGTATCAATGCACAAAGCGCCATATAAGTGTTCCAATCGTGCCCATCCGACACTCGTCCTAACATTGCTGGACTCATAAAATGCAAAACCTCCCGCAAACCTGGTTCACAAATTCCAGGCAACAACAAGTAGAAGGAAAAACACTAAACTGCATTGCCCAGGGCACCACCTTGCTCCAGCGAATGAACTCCTTTAGCCAAACGACCGCTCTCCCGCGCATGGCAACGAATCCAGATCCTGGCCGCTTCTGATTCACCAAGAGGACACCGTCTTTGGGGCCTCAGCCAGGAAGGTCAAGACCCAACTGATTAGAAGCAAAATTGCGCCATATGCACTCCACAAAAGATCCTTATCTTTGAGACCTTGCTGAAACATCCTCAGCATCGCTGTATTATCTGCATCATTAAGTATGGTCCTTGCGTAGTTCACGTAGGCTACTGCGAACCGCGTTAGCTGTGACCTCCACTTTGTCTTGCAAAGAGGCAACACGAGTCAAAAAGTGAGCTCCAAACTTTAACCCCTAAACCCTCAGCCCCTTAACATTCTTGTATCCCATAACGGGGCCTTACTGGCATAGTCCATGTTTGTATATCTTCCTGCCTGCAGCCCCTGCTGGGATTCTCAATCCCCTCACCCTGATAAAGAGTATTCCCCACATTGTGCGATGGTACTATATTGGGGTCAGCAAAACATTGAAGTTCGCGAAGTCCACAAAAGCTGTAAGTCGAGCAGCATGACAAAACTGAATCACGGGGCACGCAAATGCTTCTATCATCGCAGGCATTCCCCCCGTTACACCAAATCTGTCCGCAATATCCTAGTGAACCCATTCAGACATATTCAGCCTTCTCTATGCATGGCTATGTAGCCTGGCCTGCTATTGGGATGCTCTTCAAAAAGAATGATGAACCGCAGCATTGAGTTCAGCACGTTTGAAAAAGCTTGCAACCCCAAAACCCAATGCCCCAAACCCCCCCAAACCCAAAGCCCCCAAACCTTAAACCCTAGACCCTAGCCCAAACCCCAAACTCGACACGCTAGAGCCTAAGCCTTCTACGTCAAAGATAACTACAGGCTAAGCCTCTGCGCTTTGACTTGATGGTTCTTAGTAGGGAATAAGGGAATATATTATACAGGGGTTAGATGAGCTATCGTCTAAACTCCTCGTATCCCCCAAAATAACACCTATAATGCTCCCCTACATAATCCCTTTATAAGGAGTGTAGGCTATAGCTCATTATAGGGATCCTACTCCCTTATCCCCTACCCAAAGAGCCAAAAAGCTGAGGGGACCCTACCCAAAGAACCAAAAAGCTGAGGACCCTACCCAGGCTGGTGGCACAGACGCTGCAAGGCCAGGCCCAGTGGAAAGATCTCATCGGCCGCTGCGACTCCATGCGGCGAATGTTTCCTTGTCTGAAGGTGAGATCGAATACGGAAGAAATTATTCTAGGGAGGCGTAGATAGGGTTAAGGTTTAAGGTGTTTCTCTTTTTTAGAGTTTAAAGCTTTGTCTGTTTTTTAAAGATTTCATGTTTTTTAATATTTAAGGTTTCGGGTTCAGAGGTTCAGATTCAGGGAGTCTGTCTTTTCTGGCGTATGGTTTAGGGATTGAGCATTAGGGTTTGGGCAGGCTTCGGGAAATTCCGGGTCCCTGCTTGTGGCTCCCTATTTTGCCAGCTAGGTGTTGCTTGCAGAGGGTGCCATTTAGGGGATCATTATGGGGTGGTCCATTAGGAGACCTGAATCCTAAAAAGTTACAAGTCGAGGAAAAATCTACGCCAGGTTCGTCACATACCACGACGATGACAATGATGACTTGTGTCTTCTCATCTAAAAACTAAAAGTAACCCTCACCGTCCACACCCCTGGCTTGAATCTTCCGAAACCTTCAACCCTGGAACGAGCCTGTGGTACCTGCGAGGGAACTCCAAAGGATCCTTTCTGAAGGGCTAGGTAAAGATCTTGTCGTAGACACGAAAGCAGGCCAATACCTGGACCCAACGAAAAATACGACCCACAAATTTCACAAGCCGACCCTTTAGCGTAATTCCGGAAAAAGTTACCTTCCGCAAGCAAGCCCTTACACATTTTCGCTGGATGCTCCCGTTACATCGACCCCCCGTGTCTCCCTCCGCTCTAGAGGCCTAAAACAGCTGTCCGAGGGGTACGCAAAGCCCTCAGACTAAACCTGAACCATGTGGCTCACTGCATGTGCCGCCATCTCCTCGGCTGGGTACGAATTCTTCGGCAGCGGCAGGAGGCCTGGAACCTTTTCTGCAGGGGGGGTGTTCGGGGATGAGGGGGCTTGGGGGTGACGACTTGAATCTGAGGGGCACATGCACAAGAAGGAGAAGAAGATGTGAACTGCGAACCGTTGAGCTTGTAGCTCTTCGTAGGCTGCAGAGGAGGCTAGCAGCATGTCTTGGGGCACATTTTTGGCATAGCGCATTAGATTTCACTGGACTTCCTAAATCTTGCATGCTGTGGCTACGGCAGCAAGAATGCTCTCAAGCGACATCATCGGCACAGTTGCCGACAGCAAACACCTTGCCACCAGCAAAGAGGGACTCCTTGGATGGGAACTTTGTGGCTCATCGCACTGTGCTGACCAATGCTGATGCGTTGCTACCACTGTACCAATGTACTGCCATAATGCGCTGAAATTCAAAAGCCGGGCGGACGTGAGGTCAGGCCTTACGGTGGTGATAGTAGCAATGCCAGCGCGAGAGGTCAATGAGGAGGAGGAGGAGGAGGTGGATGCAGAGGAGAAAGATGAGGAGTAGCTGAGTAGCATTGACAGGGAGCAGGAGCAGCAGCCACAGCAGTGACATTTTGGATCTTCTAGGACATTTGATGCGCTCTGGGGCTATCATGGTTTGGGCAGGAAGCAGAAGCTCTGAATCCTCCTACTAGTTTTAATGCTTCTGCACCACCACCACCACCACCACCACCACCACCACCACCACCACCACCACCACCACCACCATGGCCGCTGCTGCTGGTGCTATGACCGTTGTTGCTACCATTACGCTACCGCCACTGCATTTTCTAATTCTCTGAATATTGCTTCCTGCTGCTACTACTGCTACTAGTACTGCTCCTGCTGCTTCTACCGCTCCTCCTGCTACCACTGTACCCTCCTCTGAGTGCAAGTACAACAATTCTACTTGGCAGTTTCCCAAAAAAGGTGACCCCAATAAAGACCCCAACATACTATGATCCATATTATGGGGACTCCCAGAGTGGTACCAACTAATTTGGGAAACCCCTTTATCTTGCCAGCAAAGGTCGCTGTCACCATCGAGCTGCGCCACCTGTAGCGTCCTCGGACGTGAAACTTTCTACGCACGCAGTCTATGGCCCGGGCTGCCCGGCCTTTGCAGTATATGATAATATATTACTATTCTGGTATATTATAACAATTTGTGGTATATGATGGCATATTATGTTCTAGTATAATATGTTAGAGTATGTTATAGTATATGATAGTAGATCACAATATCATTGTTATCGCGTATTATGGTTCAGGATTCAAGGGTGAGAGGCTGAGGATTTGGTTGGAAGCCGCCGTCCCTGAACCTGAAGCTAAATCCTGAACCATAAATTATGCCAAAATACTAGACTACAATATGATATACCACAATATACAACGATATGCCATGATATACCATAGCACACCGAAAAATACCAGAACTGAAGATAATATGCAATAGTATATACGATCCTAAGATACGATATCATTTCGAGAGACTGCATTTCACAAGACTGCCGCATCTCCAGCTTGAAGCCCTAACCCTTCAAACCTTCCAACATGGCTTAGGCTTTAGGGTTTAAAGAAATTGTACTTGGGTTCATGTCCGAATTTTGAGCTGTTGAGCAGGTTTTGACCTGTTTTATCTCTTGGTTTTGGTTGTTTATGACCTTATACAATTTCAATTTGTCCTGGGCTCGAGGATTTAGGTTTTAGGGGTCAAGGGTTCTGTTCCTGAGATGGTTAGCGTGGAAAACAGTTTCCAATATACTCGTCCTTACAGACCTACAGGATCCACAGAACAATTTCCACTAAAGACCCTTGGGTCAACCCCTTGGGTTATCCCTCTTGATCCTCACACTGATCGCCCGAGCTGATCCTCTCTCAGAAAACTCAGCCCAAAGCTATGCATCACAGAGTATAGTATATTGTAGTAAATATGTATATGTATATATAATATTTTATGGTAACTACTGAAACTATGTTATGGTAATCTACTGCCCCAAAACATGTCAACCCCAGAGACATGAACATCAAACCACGAATCCGCAAACCAGCCCCAAAACCCGAGGCAGAAACCCTAAAATCCCTAAACCCCAAAGCTGAAACCTTGAAACCCAAAGCTGAAACCCTGAAACCCAAAGCTGAAACCCCCAAAACCCCGAAAGCCCAAACCTACACCACCAAACCCTCAAACCTAAGACGTAGCCCAAGAGCCCACAGCCTCCAAGCCTAAACCTAAACCCGCAAACCGTCAAACCCCAACCTGAGCCCAAAAGCCCAAACCCTAAATCCTCAACCCCTAAGCCCCTACACCCTTAACCGCAAAAGCCCAAAAGCCCGAATGTCATCAAGGAACGGGGTTACCTTGACCCATCCCTTGCTGCTCAGACATGCCGACGGAAGAAACTCGCAATGCCTTGACCCAAACAGCAGAGTTTAGGGTTTAAGGTTTAGGGTTTACCTTTTCTACTCAGGTCATGCCGCGAGAAATGTCCCTAAGACAAGGCCCAGAGAAGCCACCACGCCCGTGTTCCAAAACATAGTCCCTAGACTTTAGGGATTAGGGTTTAGGGGTTAGAGGTTAGTTATTCCGTTTGGGTTTGGAACATGATCACATGTGGGAAGTCCTCAAAACTATCGGGTTCATCAGGGAGGTGTCCCAAACAAGAAGCGCATGATTTTGGGATTTTGGGGGGACTGTAGGCTTTTCAAGATGCAGCTCTAAGTTGTTCTTTTCGGGCAGTTGACTATATATGGTCCCCCTCAAGTACATGGAATATGCCTTCCGGTGTATTATAATAAGATCCCCAAATACCCCCATATTCTATCTACTTAAGGGAGACTATAATTCTTTCTTCCTTGAAGGGATCTTCTAGCCCCCCAGCTTGAATACTTTCACATCTCGCCATGTGCGACAGTAAAGGATCAATGTACAAGTTGGGAGGAGTCAACGTACTGCCTGCATCCCGGCATGATACATGTCAGATAGTAGACGGAATGGAGTGCAAGCTGTAATTGTGGCGTTTCCGCGTCATGGTTCCTGTGTCCCTGATACTTGCTTGAGATCCTTGCGTTGGGAGCCTCGACAGTGAAGACTGGCATATATAGAAGGCCTCGAATCCCGGAGACCTCATATGGATGGTAGTTTCCTCCTAAAATAGGGAGATCCCAACATAGAGCCAAAAATACTGAAATCCAATTAATCTGAACCCCAAAAAGGTACACCTAATTTGGGAAACCCTAATTCCTAAATCCTGTTTATCCCTACATAGCCGGTATAGATCCTATATATATCCTCCCAATTTTGGCCTCTGATGGAAGACTGAGGCCAGGGGGCGGCTGCATGCCGACACTCTTGAAGACACGCTCTGGTGGCGATCGCCCCACCTGCTGGATGCTTTGTTGGGAATATGCGGGGAGTCCAAAAACCTAGGGGTACCCAATCAGAATAAGGGTTATAATACTTCGGTGTCGATATTGGGGCGGGAACCTATCATATCTGTATGCTTATCATTATATGGTAATCGCAGTTTCCAATTGATTTTCCATGTTCTCTTCGAAGTGATTCTTCATTATTGGGGTTAAATATCTCCGATAGAACCCCCATAGTCGTAGGGGTTAGGGCGGTCGCAAGAAAGGATGTTGTCACGGATGTGTCGAGACCGATCGATGAGACTGCACAGGACTCCTGCTGGAAAGCGCAAGGACTTGACTTCGGCCTCTCGCAGACCACTAGCTCACGCTATGATCCACGGAGATGCGGATAATCACAAGGTCAACCTTAAAACAGGCTTTCCAGACCTCCAGAAGTGAGATCAGTACAAACCACCTCAACAGATCTGTGGAAATGGCAATGGAGGCATACCTCAGCCAAACAAAAATTATCGAAAAAACAAGGATCTGGATGATGCTTCAGGATGTTGGGTAAGGGCCTTCACCCGCAGATTAATCGGCACTAGGCATTTCCCGCAGGGCTGCATGTTGGGTAAGGGACTTCACCCGCAGATTAGTCGGCACTAGGCATTTCCCGCAGGGCTGCCTTTTTCCAGAACAGCGTGGAGTTGGCTTCGGAGTATTTTGGTCCAGCAAGCATCCTTTGCTGAAGGCCATCAAGACCGAAGTCTGTGCTTGCCAAGAAACCTATCACAGAAGTAGAATTCCAGAAGTGCAGCGCAGAGGTAGCAAGACTCTAAGAATGCATAGAAGGAGAAGGGCACTCAGGGGGCCATTGCCATCCTGCATTCTCCACTCCACAGACCAAACACGCATAGGAGGCAAGGTACATCTTCCCCCCAAAAGATTGGGTTCCCCAAGCAATGGATAATGGGAGGATTTTGGTAACCCCAACCCCTATAATCAGGACCCTATAACTTTCACATGACTACAATAACATCCGAATTCTAGGGGTGGGGGTAACCAAAATCCTCTTATCAATAGAAAGGGGACGGAGGGGGAAGATGACAGTCATGCCGAGGCTCGTGATGTTGTGCTTCTTCAGATGGCCCTTGATGTACCTGGGCTGCTGTTAGCGGCTTAGATTACGTTACTATAAGGGGTATTTAGGGTTTAGGTAGGCTTAGATTAGGTTACTATAAGGGGTATTTAGGGTTTAGGTTTACTATGAAAAGGGAGCCCTGTCATTTACTATATACCCATATGATGGTTTCCCTTAACAGCCCAGATACTTCCTTGCCCCAGGGCACATGGAAGGGCAAACGCCTCTGGGACTGCCAACCAGGCTGATCTGAAGCGTGGGATAATAGTAGCGCAGCTCAGCCGCGTACTCCACCTGAGTAGTAACCAAGAAAGATTATACTCTGCAAATAACATACTATACCGAAATAAAGGATATAATATAATCATATTCTATATGGTAGTTTCCCAAAATAAGGGGACCCTAATATAGACCCAAATATACTATAGTCCTTATATAGGGACCCTCAAAGAGGTACCCCTAATTTTGGGAAAGCCCCATATTGGGTATAATAGAGGATCCCCAAACAAAATACTACCCACCTGTGCCAGGAAGACCTGAACTTCAGCAAGCACGGGGCCTCGCTCTCTGGACACCTAATTATGTAGACCTCTGATGAATACACCCCCTCATCTTAAGGGTCTTAAAATTAGGATGCCCATTATAATTCCTATGGAAGGGAGGGGTTTATTCATCAGGGGTCTGGGTTACTGCTGATATCGACGAGATACACCCACGTAGCCAGCACCAATGACCGCGACGTGGGCCCCTCGCGCGGCAAGCTCTGAGAGCTTTTTATGCTCCTTATTGCATCTTCCATGTTCTTTTCTATTTGATTCTATATTTGGTTCTAACATCCCTAAACCCTAAACCATTACTTCCTAAAACCTAGACTATGGCACATTCGGGTCACAACCCTCCCGACAAGCCCAGACTCCATTTCTATTCGCTCTTGACGCCCTTCAAGACTGCGCTCTCGGTCCCTCCTGCAACAAACAAGGAACTGAAAGTAAGCTACCATAATAAGGGATATATACGGTTTAGGAGGGTTTAGGGTTTGGGTCTAGGGCTCCGTCAGAGGGGTCCACTGTGAACTATGCCAGCCATTAGTCCAACTGCTCGGGATGGGAATTGGAACTAGCTTCCCAAATACTCTACCCCTATGTAACCCCTATAATATAAAAGAGCCAGATTCTATAGTAGTTCCCATGTTCATTTCAATTCTCCCTATATAAACCCCAATATATTATAGTAGTTTCCATCTTCTTTTCCATTATCCCTATATAAACCCCAATATGCCCCATGGTCCCAAGGATCGAGGCGTACCAGAGGTTGCTGCTGTAGTGGCACCCCGCTGAGATGATGCAGTAGTCCTGACCCACATGAGCTATAGTCTAAACTCCTAAAAGGGGGGTTGTATAGGGGATAATATAGGAGACTACTACAAGGGTTATTAAGGGAGATTCTAGGAGTTTAGTCCTGACCCACATGGTGTTTTGGGAGGGCTCCCGAATGTAGGCATGCCTGATGGGGAGTTTAACAATACCGGAGTCTCGGGAGAGCAGCTTACAAACTTGCGCAGTATCAGGCGGAGGTGGATGCCATTCTTTGGGAAAGGCCCCCTGTCTAATTGGGAATCGTTCGTGCGCAGTATGAAGCACGCTGCCCCTAATTCAACCCTGAACCCTACACCTTTAACACTGGTCCCTGAACCCCAAACCCACAATCCAAAACCCGAACTTTGAGCCGGGAAACATATGGTAACACCACCCGCTGGCCGCTCTTTGTGCTGGTATTGCTGAGCTGGACAACGACCTGGCGAGATGAGGGCTTGAGGTCCAAGAGCTGAGGTTTCGGGTTTGAGGTTTAGGAGGCTCAGGACGTAAGTATATCTAGAAAGTCTTCACGAGCCAAATACCCAGCAAGGTGCTGTGTAGAGGACTCCTTATTGCACGCTCCAGCACTATCAAAAAGGGTCCCTACCTAAGACCTGAGAGGAGTGCATTCATAGGAAGGCTAGGTTATTTTGCCACATCTGGCAACGCCAATTGAGGCCGCGGTCCATCCCCTAAAACAAAGCTTGGTATTCAAAAGCCCTGACCCACCAAACCCTCAACCCTAAACCCCAAAACCTGACCCTAAACCTTCTATCTCCCTGACAGGAACCAATGCCTCCTTGTCGTCAATCTTCTTGGCGGCACCCCAGATCCAGGCCACCTGATGGGCCCAAACGGGATCAGAGTCCCGTAGAGACTGGTAATGATAGTCATGAAGAATGATGGGTTTACGGGTCTGGCTCTAGGTTTGAGGGTTTGGGGTCTAGGGATCAGAGTTTAGGAGTCAGGGTGTAGGCATTACATGACTAGGGCTTAGGGACGTAGGTCTAGGGATTGGGCTGTATGGATTAAGGTTCAGGATTCTGGTATTGGCGATTAGGGCTTAGGGTTTTGATAAGGAATGTAACCTGAATAGGGATACCCTAAATGAATAATGGAAAATGAATAGAAAATGTTGATTCTAGTCATTACAGCCGTTTGGGAATGGAGAAGCACAAGGAATGGAAAATGGGAAATGAAATGAACACTGGGACTGTACAGTGTTCAAATCACGTTAAATTCGGATGAAAAAGCAATTTAGAAATAAATCAAATGGAGTATAGGGGTTGCAATGTAGTATAAGAGGACAATGTTGACAAAAGTTCTGGCTGCTGCACTACGTAAGGGGTCATCTGTTGGTCGCAAATACTCACATCGGCATAAGAATTCACAAGATTGCCGCCCCCGCGCTATTTAAACGTGCATGTATGTATGTATGTATGTATGTATGTATGTATGTATATATCCATATCCTAAAGATCCCCATGTGATTGTCTATTATGGGCTTGCACCAAAGTATCGTATTCTGCGCCCCGTGCCTTCATCTTGTTGCACACGCTTCGATACTCAAGGACCAACTTGCCATACAGCTTCGGCTGCGTGTACGGCCGAACCATTCCAGGGGAGAACTCAAAAAACCTGAGCCGCACTCCGGCAGAAGCAAGCACGGTTCAGGGTTTCGGGCTTGGGGCTTAAGACTTAGGGTTCTTTGTTTAGGGTTTAGGGTTTAGCGTTTAGGTCTTTCGGGTTTAAGGTTTAGGGTTTCCTGGTTGGTCCCAGTTTTAGAGGTATCAAAGCGTGAGGACATAAGCTGAAAACCACGCAAGAGCCGGAACCTGAAGATCCTACAGCCCTCCCCTAAAACTCTGCACGCTAAACCCTGAACACCTAAAAAACTTGCTGGTGGTAAGTAGGGAATAAGGAAATACACTCCTTATGTAATTCCTATCCCACTACGTAAAGCTCCGAACCCTAAACCCTGAGCCCTCTAAAGCTCTAAACCCTAAACCTCTACATCTTGGAACGAACATATAACCCCAATATAATCCCTAAACCCCAGTTTCCATGTCATTTTCCATTTTCTTGTCCATTTCTTCTCCATTATATTAAAAAAAAAACTAAACATCAAACTGACCTCCCTTCCCGCAAGCCAGGGCACTCCTTCGCATCAACCAATGTAACCTGAGAGTATAGTAGGGGTATATTGGGGTTATATTGGGATTATACTGGGATAATGCAAAAAATGGAAACTACTATTTAGGTTTGGGGTTTAGGGTCAAGGGCTTCGGGGGGTCATAAGTAGGCTTGTACGGCCCATGGTTTTGATCTATGGATACCTAATAAGTACTTATTTAAGGAAGCTTGCAGACACTCGCCAAAAACCATAGCAACAAAATCCTACCTCGCCGTCAAGAAGGTTGTAAATCAAAATAGACGCCCATGAACCTCCCCAGCTGGTGCCAAATCATGAAGGATGTTCAAAAGGGCTCCGCACTTTTCAGAAGGGCCCATGATCTACATTTCCGACAAGGGAAGTACCGCGATCGGAAGTGTCGTCAATCCATTAGAAGGATGGACACAAGAATCTGTAATCGTAATGCCTGCCACCGCCTTATACGACGCATCAAGTTGCAGTAGAACTTGTTTTCAAATGGAAAATGCGTCCACGCAGCATGGCTAACTAGAAGACAAGAAGGAGAAACGCATTCCGCACAAGCAACAGGGTCGCAAGAACGCAGAGCAAAGTCCAACAGAAACAGGGTTTGTGGATAAAGGGTTAGCGTTAAGGGTTTCGGGTTTAGGGTGTGGGGCCGGTTTACGGTCCAGGGTTTCAGGTTTAGGGAGCGTTCCTCTGGACACGGTGACTACGCGGACAAAGTATGTCCCATGTTCATCATGATCTGTTCTGGATTTGATGCACTGATGCACCGGGATCCACCCCCCACGTGCTTGAAGTGCCTCTCGATTTGGTTCAAGAAATGGTGTAGAAAGCTCCCAACCACCTCTTGTTCCGGTACAACTAGCCGTTCCCTGTATGTATGTATGTATGCATAATATGCATTCTACTATACCACAATGGGAATATCCAACATTTGGGGGGGTTAGAGAAATGTCAATATAGGCGCGAGGCAGGATGTTAGCCAGGCAGTTTGGGACCGCGGAGAAAAAGGATAGTACTGCACTTGAAGCTACACAGGGCGTAGGGTCTATGTAGTTTACAGTTGTAGGGTCTAGTATTTAGGGTTCTAGGGCTTAGGGTTTTAGGGTTCAGGGTTTTAGAGTTTTGGACATTTAGGGCTTCGGGATTCCTAAGTAGACTCCCTTTTTGGTTCGGTAATGGTTACAGCACAACAGCCATACACGCGTTTTCACTCGCGCGGCTGAGAAGTCCTGCTCTTGTAGAGCTGCCAAAGGAGGGATGGAACAATCCAAGAGACTGCAGAAAAGCTGGACGGAATTCCCATGCCCTGAAATCCGGGCCTCCATCAAGGTTAAGACACCACCCCTAGAGGCGGACTGATGCAAGCCAGGAAAGCTCAGACCAGGACCAAGTCCAATGGATCAAGTGGGAGCACGGGCGGTGAGAAGGCACAGTGCTCAACAGGGACCAAGACCAGTGGATCACCAGGAGCAAGCAGGGCTCGACTCGGACCAAATAGAAGCCAACACGGGGAGACGGACAGGGCAGAAGGCAGAGCACAGCTCTATCAGGACCAAATTCAGGGGATCAACTAGGAGCAGTACGAAAAGAGCAAGGAGCAGGGGAATCCAAGAACATGCATGCTGAGGTCCACCTGTTTTTCAAAGGATGCTGCAGACGGAGTGCAGCATCCTTGCCGTTTCGTGCAAGAAGAAATATGTGGGATCAAGCTCCTTTCGTACAACCCTGCCATAGTGCTTCAAGGAGGGATGGGCAGTCTGGATTCAACCGCCATCTTCCATCATTTTTGTCTGCATAGAGCGCTGAAATTTGACGAACTCCTACGCTGGAGCTATGGGGACCTCTCCCTGCTTCAGGTGCATTCCTCTGGGAATATGATGCGGGTAGCGACAGGCTACCCGCTGTCTTGGCAAAAACTGTGGCCGCTATTGGGAACCCTACTCCACACGATGCCCTACATGTTGCTGACCCGGAAAGCCGGCACCCATATTTCCTGCCACCCAGAAAAAGTGGGTGCCCAAGTTGGTGTCAAATATAATCACCCGTCTTGTAGAAGGAACCTGGATATGACATGTCCTAAGATTAGCTTGGCAAGTCGTCTCAAAAGACTTACTGTATGTTGCTACGTATCCTTCAAATCTATCATATCAGCCCCAATATCTCCCTGTGCATGGCCAAGTATGCCTGTCAACGAAATGGTCCCCTTCTGGGTCCCACTTTTAATGAGACGCCTTATAACATTATATCCGGTATACCCAAAAATGGACTATACTTTTGACCAACCCCCTCATGTATCCCATCCCTAAACCCTAAACCCGTATATACCTATAAACCATGGACCCTAGACCCTAAACCGTAACCCTGAACCCCAACCCCATGGACAACAATAGAATCCCGGTATATCCCAATGCGTCCCACATGGGCTATAGTCTGAACTCCCAGTATCCCCCTCAGTATCCCCTATATAAGCCCCTCTAAGGCGTTTCGACCCTAAACCCGAAATCTTGAATCCCAAAATCCTGAACCCTAAACTTTAAACCCTAAATCCTAAACCCTAAAAACCTATATAACCCCCGAAACCCTAAACCCTAAACCGTAAACTCTAAACTCTAAACCCCAGATTATGTCTCACGGAGCCATGTCACCTCGAAGTCTCGTCGGAGCCTTCGAACTGCTGCCAGGCCCGCAAAGCCTCCTCCTGGGATGGTTTAGGCCTTTGTGTTTGGAGTTGAGGGTGTAAGATTTAAGATTTGGCGTTTCAGGATTTAAATTTGGGGGTTTTAGCATTTCAGGAATTTTAGGGTTTGACGGTTTTTGGCGTTTTCGGGTTTGGGGTGTGGGGTTTAGGGCCTCAGGATATTTAGTGATATTCGGTCTCCATATGGGATATGTACAGATAGAAGGGATATTTACGGACGTAAGGGATCCGCGGAGATATGAAGGACAGGTGGGGAGATATGCAGGAATATGAAGGGATATTATGGAACCCCTTGCAGACATACAAAATATATGAAAAGATATACAGGGGCATAGCTTCTTAAGGATACTTACTTGGAGGTCCACTCGAACATTATGCATCGTTCGTCGCTCAGGACCTCTGAGTCACACTCCTAACATTTATTCGACGCGCAGGACGTAGCCTGCTAAGTTCGTAGCAGTTAGTAAAACAAAGAAGAAGAACGTGAGTGTCAACCCGGAGAAGGAGTGGCAACGGAAAGGAGCCGAGCAGGACCAAGAATTGTAGTAGTACACATGAACGAAGGAAGGCACAACGGAATGATCGAAAGGAACATGCGCGCAAGCACCAAAAAAAACCGAATTCCTAGCTGACTTGGCAGGTTCAGACATCTATCAAAGTAGCGCAAGCTTCTTCGTGGCTGTCAATACTAGCCTTCCCACCATAGAAGGTACAAGATCTGACTCGCCAGGATAGCAACGACGGTTACAACGGCCTGTAGAATCATCACAACACTCACTTCATAGCCAGGATTTGTATCATTTTTGAGAAATTGTTGCTACCCTAAACCCTAACCCTAAATAGTAGGCGTATCGGCCCCGGTTTGCACGCCAGCTTGTGCACGAGTTTTGTTTTGGTCCCTTTTGGACCACTCCGCCTCAGAAGCCATGTCGCATCCTCCTGCTTCTACACAGAGCTTGGAGCACTTCAGGAGCGGAATAAGCCAGC